GTAGCCATATTTTGGCTACAAATATGCAATATGCAAGTTACAAAAGGTTCACACTGAATAGTTTCAGTGCCTTGAACTTTGTATAAAAATAATTTTTGTTAACATTGAATAGTTTTAAGGGCTTTGAATTTAAAATGAAAAAAATAATTTGTGCAAACAAATTTGGAACTAAATATTATAACATATAAAATTTTGATTGCATGCGGGGGCATCCGTGGCGTGAGGACACATTTCTAGTTCGTGTTTTTTTTATGTTAAACATGAGCCATAGCGAGAACGATGTTCTTGTATATCCATCCTCCGGTTCGGAGGGAGAATTTTCGGGATTTGAAAGGGAAGATTTCCCTGACAAAGATAATTACTCTCCATGAAAAGGTAGGGTAAAGTCTGTTATTGTAAACCCGATAGAAATTCTAAGAAACAACGTAAAAAACTGAAAAATAGTACACAGAGAAATAAAAGTACAAATTCCAAATCCAAGGATAAAGTGACAAATCCTGGAAAAAATCTTATAGATATGAACAATATGTCAGCTGATAATATTGTTAATTTAGATATAAAGAACTAAATTGGGTATTTCCCAGTCATTTACACATTCTTGGGACGGTGATCCAGATGAACATGTTGATTTGAATAATGCACGCATCATGCATATTCAGTTGCAGCTAGATTCTGATGACTCTGATGATGATGATTCTATTGGCATAAGATGCCCATCAAAAGAAATTGATTAGTTCTCTTTTTGGAAATGATGAGAACATGAGTTATTCTAAAAAAATGTGTGGAATTAATACAACTATTACCACTTCCCTCTTTGGTAATGATGTTTCCAAAGACATTTAAACCTGTGAAACAGGTCTGAATTTGAGGAAGAGGGGAATTTCTTTCAACCATATGGAAGGTCAAATTTCCGAGGAAGATATCCTCGTAGTAACATCTATAAAGGTCGTGGAAGGTCTTCACCGTATGGTATGTCACAAAGTAATTATCGGGGAGGATATAATTCAACCCGAGGTTTTTCCAGGAAAGGACCAAAACCACAAGCCACTGTAACGGCCCCAAACGAGGGGAATTAAATGCTGTAGGTAATTTAAAAAATTGTTTAAATACTTGGAAAATATTTACAGATGATCCTTGGGTTTTACAAAGTGTTGAGGGCTATCATTTAGAGTTTGATAGTTCTCCTCTTCAATGTTGTGTACCCAAAGAAATTCCTTTTAATGATAATGAAACTAAAATTATTGATTTAGAAGTTGAAGAATTATTGAAAAAAGGAGCAATTGTGCCATCTAAATGGGAGAATGATCAATTTGTATCAAATATTTTTGTTGTAAAAAAGCCAAATGGCAAGTTTAGACCTATTATTAATCTCAAGGCATTAAATAATTTTGTGCATTATGAGCACTTTAAGCAGGAACATTTTAAAATAATGTTAGATCTTATTCAAGAAAATGATTATTTCTGTTCAGTAGATTTACAGGATGCGTATTTTTCTGTGTCAATTCATCATTCATTTCATAAATATTTAAAATTTATATGGAAAAACAGATTATATTCCTTTATTGTTCTACCATTTGGGTATAGTGCAGCTCCTAGAATTTTTACAAAATTGTTGAAGCCTATTTATGCATGGTTTCGATCACAAGGTATCAGGTGTTCCTTTTATGTTGATAATTTTTTGAACATGAACAAAGAAAAAGAGGTTTGTAGTAAAAATGCCAGTATAATTTGTAAAACTTTACAATCTTGGGTTATAAGGTGAATGAAAAAAAATCTTTTTTAGTACTAACCCAAAGAATTGTTTTCTTTGGCTTCTTGATAGATTAAGCTACGTCTATGGTTTATTTAACAGATGATAAGATTGATACAATTATTTTGAATACTGGAAAAGGAGACAATTATTGTAAGGGAATTAGCATCCTAATTATAGGGTCAGTTATTAATGCTTTTTATGCCGTTTTAGAAGCCCCACTTCATTAAAGGCAATTAGAAAGATGTAAAGTTTAAGGTTTAGGAAATGATAACAACTTTGACAGTAAAATCAAGTTAAATCAAGACAGTTTAATTGAATTGCATTGGTTGATTAATAATATTCATGAGAAGAATGGTAAAAGAATTAGGCCAGAACAAGTTGATTTACTTGTCGATCAGATGCAAGAAAGCTCGGTTGGGGTCGTTATGATTTAGTTTCTAGGTTTCACGCAAATGGGCGTTGGTCGAGACAGGAATTTATGAAGGGCATACATTTTTAGAATTGCTGGCCATATTTTATGGTATTCAATCGTTTTATGACAAAGTTTCAAATTGTAATATTAAAGTTTTTTCAGATAATATAACAGCTGTAGCCTATATAAAAATCTGGGATTGGTGCTTAAACAGAAATATGTTTTTGTCAGCTTCTATATTTAAGGTTCTGAAAACATTCAGATAGACTTTTATTCAATATATTTTTCAGATTCTAAAGAATGGATGTTGAAAAAAGATACTTTTCACCGTATTTGTTTAGAATTGTTTCTTCCAGATCTTGATATGTTTGCATCTTGCCTGAATCATCAATAACCAAAATTTGTTTCCTGGTTCCCTGAACCTGGAGCATATAAAACTGATGCCTTCTCTTTTTCTTGGTCATCTTATAACCCATATTTGTTTCCACCTTTTTCATAAATTGGAAAGGCTATTAAACAAAGTAATAGAAGACAATGTAAAGAGGGCAATTTTGATAATTCCTTTATGGAAATCACAATCTTGGTTTCCACTTATCATGGTTTTTTTAATTTCTGTCCCTATTAGGTTAAGATTGATTCTTGTCGCAGTTCAGTTATCAGTAGATACCTTCAAAGCCAGGGATTTCCACCACAAGTTGTGTCAGTCTTCTTACAATCCTGGAGAACTGGAACTTGAATAAAGTATGCATTGGCCTGGAATAAATGGTGCCTTTGGTCTAAACAAAAATGCCAAAGCTCCGTTAAAACGACTGAGTCTGAGGTAATATCATATTTACATTTTCTAAACAACAACAACAACAACAACACGAAGTCTTATTCAGAGGTGAGTACACACAAATCAATGTTGCTACAGACACTATAAATATTCTTGGAAATTTAATTAGTTGTTTTATGAGAGGAATATTTAATAAGAAACCAGTATTGCCTAAATACAAGTTTACATGGGATGTTGGGACTGTGTTTAAAAGCTTTAAGTTTTTTGGTTTCCCCTTGAATTTTTGTATTTGAAAACATTGACTTTGAAGGGAACTGCACTGATAGCTCTGGCATGTGCTCCAAGGTCTCAAACCTTAGTTTCAATTTTGAATTTAGACTTTATGAAAGTTAATTCTTATTACATTTTTTTTTTGAAATTAATTGAAAACATCTCAACTTGTGAAAGAGAATAGTTTTTATATGTTTGGGTCGTCAGACCAAACAAATAATAGTACCGAAATTTTAGACCCTGATGCTGTTAATTGCAAATGCCGAAAGAAGTCCGCTTTTTTGAAGCGGTTACTTCCCTTCATATGTACATTATCGCCGAAAAATTAAGGGGAGATCACTGCGTACAGATTGTCAAATGACAGGCGCATTAATTTTCATAACGAAAGAATAGTTCCCGATTGGTCGAAGAGTTCTAATATTGTGTTATTCTTATAGATATACATGCTTCTATTCAGCTCAATGATTATTTACTTCAGTGTTAAGCATCAGGTTTACCGTGAACAAAATGCATAGAAATTAGTAAGGGTTACAAACTCTTAATTAAGAATAATACGGTATTCTTTCGGCTGTTATCTTACAACTCACCGTGGTCGAGGGGTTTACACGCTCGCTTTAGAAGCGAGAGGTCCGGAGTTCAAATCCCAGTTAAGGCTACTCATGTCTTTTTTTGCTTTTTGTTGTTTTTTTAATTGATTAAGCCAAATAAACATTGAATTGAATATCAGTGTTGAATATTAGTCTTATAGCCACTATAGTTTTAACACTGGAAATAGAATTTGGTGACACTTTACAAACAAATTGGTTTATAGTCTTACAACCTTCACCTGTCTGACATTCTGAGACACAAACAAATTCAGCGCCTTCTGTGCTTTGATTGTGTTAAGTAAGAACACTTTCAGAGAGAAAGTGTATGTGTTTTCCATACCTTTTTTTAAAGTTCTATATTGAGAAAACTAAAAAATAAAGAAAGTCAAAACAGTTACTTGTGTATTTGTAACTTTTAATGCTGTTTCAACTAGTTCAATTGCCAGATGGTTGAAAACAGTATTACAATTATCTGGAATTGATGTATCATATTTTAAGGCACATTCATTTAGGTCAGCTGCAGTGTCTGCTGCATTTAAAGGAATTGTTCTCTTATCGACCCATCTTATTTTTTCTCATCAGTTTATCTGTTCTCTATGTTAACCCTCCCATTAGGGTTCTACGTTACGGCAAAATTTTTATTCTTTAAATTATGATTCTACTCGGGTTTACACGGTTAATATAGCGATTCGGACTACTTTTTACGGTTCTTTGAATCGGCGTTTAGTGAGAAAAGCGTCAGACTGACATGCTATTGTGAATACATGCGATTGCTCCTCATCCTTCACATGATGTTTGGATGAGGGGGACTATTACCTTCCACTGGTTCAAAAGATACAGACCGGACACGAAAACTCCTATATAAATGTATAAAAATCAATATTTCCCTTGGGCAGGGCCAATTTTGACACAGTAAGCCCGAAACTGTGTTTTGCACCTCGTCTCATAACAAATAATTATTCTGCGAAAACGTTTTAATTTCTTTTATCTGTTCTAAAGATAGCAAAATAGCAATAAGAAAAAAAAACAAGAAAAAAAATATATAAGAAAGAAGAAAACACTATAGGCAACATTCTTTTTTATTTACACAAAACGTCATTTTCTTTTAAATGATAAAACAAACAAAATGCATCTACAAACAATGAAATATAAATAAATCAAAAGGTCCATGATATCCTTGATGTTTACCTGGCTAAAGATTGTAACTCCGATTAAAAAATTGTATTTACTGCATTACTGTCTTTTACTGTGATGCATGATAAGGAATTTTAAAAACGACTGGAAATAAATTTTATTCTCCGATGATTCATGATAAGCCAGCTCATGGTTATTCCATAGCTCATTTTTAATTTCTTAAGTTCTTAAATATAGTACATATGATAATTATAGCAAAAAGTAACTTTCATTGATAGGATCTTAAATGTGTTCATGATTCACAATAAATGCAAATAGTAATGAATAAAACGCTTTCATTGTAAAATAGTGTATATATTTCATTTTTATTACAATGCTTCTTTTTTCTAAATATATTCTTAAACAAAACATGATTCACACTAAATTATTACAGTTCTCCTTTTTCTAAATCTTTAAGCAGAACAAACCGTGGTAAATAAAGGCTTTATTTATCGAGACTACACATTTGTTTTCCCAATCTTCAATGTGGGCCTCTAAGAAAAACATAATTTACAATATATACAACTACAAGACTACAACAATATTGCAACAACAATGTAGTACAATGTACATTGAAATTGTCAGAACAAGAAATACATGTTAATATTTACAGTCCAGTTATAGCATAATACACGTCAAAGAAGTACATATTAAATTTAACAAAGTGAAAAATACGTTTTAGGTGGTACACCAAATGATTAGATTCTAATTTTGTTATAAAATGATTAATTTAATGAAGAGATATGCCAGGATAGATATGAAGCTTGAAATTCCTGAACTGTTTTAGATTTTCTAATGTTAAGAGGGATATAATATTCGTTAATTTAGGGCCAGAGTATACTAGGGATTTTCTAAAAATTCTTTCTTAGGTCGTGAAACAGCTATGTCTGAACTATTTGTAGATCTTAAGTTACGCTCATGGTTTTGATAAACAAATTGGAATTTACTTTGCATGTATTGTAGATATGGTATGTCATTGATAGATTTAAACATTATGATTGCTTTTTTGTAATTAATTATTTCATCTGATCTCATCCAATTAAGTTGTTTAAACAAATCACTGGAATGTGCATCGTAACTTTTATCTAGAATTATTCTTGCTGCTCTTTTTTGAAATTTTATGATTTCATTGATCAGATCATTGCTGCAATTGCCCTAGATAGTACAGCAAAAATCTATGTATGGTTAGATGTATGTTAAAGAATAGTTTTTCTTGCATGTAAGTCTAGATATTGCTTGATTCGGAGAAGTAAGTATAATTGAGAATTGCATTTTTTAAGTATTTTTTTAAGTTACAATGAAAAAGTGTGACATTACCCACGCCCCTAGCACCGGGTTAAGCAGTACAATCTTTTAACAATTAAGGTGCTAAAATTAATAATCCCAAAGGACCAAACAAAATTAACAACACTGAAGTGAAGTATGAGGCAACATTTTTAGCTACAACAAAAAGAACAATCTGGAGGCATAAATAGCAACAACATTACAAGAAAATTGAAATTAGATATTTTCAATTAATGTTCATCATTTGAAAAATTCCAAGTATAATTGGCAACTTCTACATAATACTACACCATTGTCTACCTCTAACGAGGTTATCCAATTCCCCAAAGCGTCTATCAAATGTGTCATGAACCGTATCTAGTTTGTCACTTATACGCTTTAAAATATTAGGTGTGAATTGCTTTAGCTGGTAGACCTTCAGTTCATCAAGTATAGGAGCAATAGGTGTCACTACGCAAGATTCATCATCCAGAAGGCCAACAACCATTCCGATGCATCTTAGATCTAAATCTCCTCCAGTATCGTCTTTCATTAATACAAGACTCCCCGAATCTCCCACTCCACAAAACTTTATGTCTTCATGAAGAGTCTTGATTAGATATTGTTTAAAAAGAGAAGTTGTTAGATTGCTTTCACCATCGCATGTCATTAGACTGTCGAATTTAATTTCTCTAGTGACAGTATTGTCGAACTGAATGACTCCAGTTGTGTTTCCAGATACACAACCAAATTTCTGAACCCGGTTGTGATCTGACGGAATACCGGCCTTTGTCCATACTAGACCTGCATCAAACGCTGAAAAATAATATATCACTCATTAAGTATACCTAGAGACCTAAATAGAGACTAACAAATAGTTGTTAAATTAAATCATGTTTAAAGTATATGTTTAACTTTATAGTATATGTTTAATTTTATTGATTGTTTTATTGCTGTCGTCCATAAACATGGTTTGGTGAAATTCAGTAAGCAATATTTTAAGAATTACACACTCGACAACTGTTTAAGGTGACTAATATAATTGCCATTTAGCTATTATACTTTTTGTTTTGGTATTTTCATTCAACCGTTCGATAAAAGTAGAGATTATTTTGTTTGTTTGTTTGGTTGGGTTGTACGTCACACAGACATAGTATAGGTCATTTGGCGACGTTCAAGCTTTACTGGTTGAGGAAGATCTTAGGTGCCTTTCCGTGCATTATTCAGGCACGAACGGGCACCTGAGTAGAACCACCAACTTTCCGTAAGCTAGCTGGATAGCTTCCTCACATGAGAGAATCCAAAGTCCCTGTCGGAATTCGAACCCACAGCGGTGAGGGGCAAGTGGTTTGAAGTCAAAGACGGTAACCACACGGTCACGGACGCCCCGAGATTATTTTGAAACATATATTTGTGCACTCCCAAACAATCTTAAATGTACAAAATCTATTAAACCTAATAGAAGGCATTTGAATATAGAGATGTGTTTTTACGTTTGGTATGAATGTTGTTAAAACTCACAAGTTAACTGACTATCAGGAAACCCTCCATCGATAGGTGCACGTTTTTCAATCTTGAAAAGTGCAAGATCTACTCCATGTGTGCTTTCATTTCCTTCTTTGTAAACAATCTTCACAATTTTTCCTATTTCATTACCGGCTCTTATGACGGGTTGGTATATCGTGCCTATGTTAAACGAATCCTCAACAGTTCCTGTCCGACTCTCTCTCAGTCGATACTTATCATAATCATTTAAGACAACATGTGCACAAGTGATTCCACAAAGACCGTGCTGAGGATGCTCTATAAACCCACCAAGCGACCCAAATTTTTCAGGGCATGTCGAGGAAGAAATTTTACAACCTATCCTCAGATTTGTTTGATACTCATCCGCATTTTGCTGACAAAAGCGAAATCCCCCTTCCCGAACGTCGACAGTTATTCCCTTTAGTTCTTTCGGAAAAGGTTTTTCAAATAATGGAATAATTCCTTTCACTAGAACTGTTAACACGATGCAGGGACGTGTAACTTTATCATGTTGCTTCGTTCCGAAATGTTTAGATACAACATTCGATGCGGAGATAACAGAAAGGAACTTGTGTTTGCTCATCAGGTTCTTAGAGTGCTTGTCAATTATTTCCCCAATCTTCCGAGACTCGTTTTCAGTCAACGGATAGTTTTCTTTGCAATGTAATAGAGAACGACTTTCATCTGAGTACTTGTTCATTATTCTAATTTCTGTTTCCCACTTCGATTGATTCTGGATTTCTGTTTCAGCAAAAACAAGAAATATTACTTTTTTGTCGTCTTTTTTTCTGTAAGCAGCCTCGACATGCGCAATATTTTCCGAAGTGTTTTTGATAATAAAACAAATTTTTCTGCATTCCTTCTTCAATTCAGATGACGTTACACCTTTTTCACAGAGAAGCCTGTTTAGGTCAATGCTATCCAAAACTTTGTCTTCTTGAAAAACGTTTGATTTGACTTCATCATCTGTAGCAATTAAGATTATTTCAGACAGTAGTTATTCTTAGATAAGGTTTCCAATAAAAATGTTTTGAATGGAATTATATATTTTTATATAAAAATAATGATATCATATTTTATCTTTGCCATATACATATTACCTGACATGGTTGACCTGTCATTGTCAACATGTATGATAAATTAACTTAATTAGTGTTCCAAATAATTTCAATGAACTGATCAACCCCTGTAAATAGTCTCATACAGCTAAGCAACCTCATAATGGGAGAGTTTCTAAATAATCCAGCAGAGTTATCTCTGCAGTGCCCCTGACAAATAAGAGGTATACCCCTTATGCTGGTTATGTCTGTGTACAGCTGATTTACATTGAATTACACTGGGAGAATGCAGTATATTTAATCAACTGACCTGATCTAATTAATAAGCTAAGGTTTATATTGCAAAGTAAACTGACTTACACTGCAGTTTTAGAATTGTGCTCCACTTTGAAATGAGTTTGAAGGCTTTCATTTTCCGAAAGAAGGATTAAAGAATTAAAGAAGAGTAGCAGTTAAGAAGGGTGTACTTGGTAATAAAATGAAGTTATGGTCACCCTCAAAGCACGATGTTGTTTGTCATAGACATTTGAGAAGTGAAAACTTCACCACAACCCATAAAAATAAGTAAGATCCATATATGATGCCAATAAATACCAAAATGGATTTATATAATAAGCAGGCATTTTAAAACATAAGCTATCATATGCAAATAACTAGTGCTATAAAACATCAGAGTTAAAACTATCCTCATCTCATTTATATGACAGAAGTGTATCAACAATAATTATTCCCATAGTATTATATACGTCTGTTTCATGATTCTAAATTTTGGAAAAATCATTGTTGGCATGTAGAAAATGTTTATGTGACCTGACATACTAGAATGGAATATCATGAATGGTAAAATACTTAGTTGATACTGTATAAAAATAAAGACAGATATGATGTGATAATTTATAATTTCAGACACACACGTTATCATGATTATGTCACGTTTTAATACATCTTGCCTTTATACATGTAATAAACTGAGCTTTCCTGTTTTTGTATCAGTAGTGATCCGCTATAAATGGTCTTAAATACTTCTCATACAACATTGTTAACTTTGGTATTAAACTGCCTTCTCGATGAAGTAGCAATACTTTCTTTTACTGATATACAACTGTTCTTGAATCTGATAGTTGCTGCTTTGTCTCAATACAATGTTACCCTGTGAGTCATTATCAAAGAAAGGAAATCATTTTCCAGGTTTAATGAACATGTCTCTCCCACTGTATGGGAATTTAATTCCTATAATCGTAGTGTCGCTGATGACGCCATCAGGTGTGCAGTTTAAAAACGGTTTTTGATGGCATATGTACAACTGTGAGTCCCGTTTCAGCTTCAAATTTCTTACGTGCCGTTTTTTCATACTGATTGCCATGTATTATACGTTTGCTATGAAGATTTGAAGAAAGAAGTCATGAAAGACTTGCGTTATTTGTTCATGTTCCTCCTAGCTGTCAACTTGCAAACTTCTCCAAATCTGGATGCAGTTACTCTCCACCGACGTTGCTCCCGCCTTGTGTATTGTCAGCCTGCAATTTGATCCTCCTTTCTGTTGTGGCTATCTATTTCAGGCTAATGTGTTGGGCGTTGTCTACCTACTGTTCCAGAAGTGGTCTGGGTGGTAGTCATGATAGATCCCTTCCTGCAGTCTGTACATCTGCTTTTCCCGATGTAGCGGATGGCTCAGTCTTTGGATTTTTTTAAACAATAATTAAAAACTGTGTTCCTAACATGATCGGTGTAGTTTGTGCAATTGCTAAAAGCAGGGGTCTTGAATCCTGGAATTCATTTGTTCGCCTGTTTCCTGACAGATCCTCTGCCTTTAAATGTCTCCCAGAGTACTGTTTCTTTGGCTTGAGGAATGTCTGAAGTATTTCAGTACATGTCCTTTGCACATGGGGGTTATTGCCAGACACAAACTTGGACAGCATAATCAGCACAGCAGCGAGGTGATTGCATGCACCATGCGGTCCTTTTCCAGCAAGGTATTCGCAGTGACTATTTAAAACTTCTCCATTTTCTTTGCGAAGTTTGAGCTTGTAGCTGTATGTAATACATTACGCTTCATTGCTGCTGAAACTATACCAGTGAAAAACAAGTCTTGTCCTTTAACACTTTTGCTACAGGCTCTATTTCTTTCCTTTTTATAAGGCCTTGATATCTGAAGTGATGTTCTTGTCTGTGGTCTCTCTGTATTTAAGCCTTTATCTCATATCTACGCGAAACAACGCACTTTCGACTCGCCCCCCCCCCCCTCTTTAAGGCCTCAAATTGTAAAAAAATGTCCTGATTGGGCCCAAAACACATGTTTTCATTTGAAAAATGTTGTTAAAAAAAGTGACCACTTTTTAGGCGCGGCCCTAAACCAAACCATACATCAGGGGGTTGCCAGAAGGGGGATGTGCCCCCTTTTGTTTGGGGGGTTTGAAGGGGGTGGTAGTCCCCCTCAAGGGCAGGAAAATTTTGGACTTGTGAGAGGCTAAAAATGATGCCAGATCAATAATAAGTTAACGTGTAACCAACGCTTAAAAGCATTTGACTCTATCTCAATCCATTGAGAAGTTGCAGCACTTTGAAGTCATTTTTCATGGAAAAAATCAACGCAAAATAGTGATTTTTAGCAATTTTGAGATGTTTCCTCGTTGCCATGGTAACAGGAAATTTAAGCCTGAGAATGTTGTACAAAAGGCAATGGTCCGTCCAGTCAACATTTGTGCCAAGTTTAATTAGTATTGAAGCAGGCTTTATAGTTTTATAGCAATTTGAACTTGTAACGGGAGTCTTTTCAATGAAATAGCCATTTTCCACCAAATGCTTATGACGTATTGGGTTAATAAAAAAAATCTACAAAACAACAATTTTTTCTTCAAATTTATATGTTATGCTATGTTTTAATATGTAAAAACGTGATTTTGGGTAATTTCAGGTATTTTTAATCATGTTTTGTTGATGAAAAAAAAAAAATTCTCCAAAACAACAATTTTTCTTCAAATTTATATGTTAGGCCATGTTTTAACATAGAAAAACTTTTGGGTAATTTCAGGTATTTTCATCTATTTTTGTTAACCCTTTACCTCACATATACGCGGAACGCACGCACTTGCAACCCCCTCTTTAAGGCCTCAAATAGTGAAAAAATGTCCTGATTAGGCCACAAACACATGTTTTCATTTGAGAACTGTTGTTAAAAAAGTGACCATTTTTTGGCGCGGTCCCCCTACCAAAAGATACACCAGGGGGGGGGGGTTGCCAGAAGGGGGATGTGCCCCCTTCCTTTTTGGGGGTTTGAAGCGTGGCGGTAGTCCCCCTCATCGCCAGGAAAATTTTGGACTTGTGAGAGGCTAAAAATGACCCCAGATTGATCATAAGGTAACGTGTAACCGACGCTTAAAAGCATTTGACTCTATCTCAATCCATGGAGAAGTTGCAGCACTTTGAAATCAATTTTGATAGAAAAAATCAACGCAAAATAGTGATTTTTGGCAATTTTGAGATGTCCCCTCGTTGTCATGCTAACAGGAAATTTAAGCCTGAGCATGTTGTTACAAAGGCAACGGTGCAGTTAACATTTGTGCCAAGTTTGATTAGTATTGAAGCAGTTTTTATAGCTTTATAGCAATTTGAACTTGTAACGAGAGTCTTGTCAATGAAATAGCCATTTTTCACAAAATGCGTATGAAGTAATGGGTTTTAACCCTTTACCTCATATAAACGCGAAACAACGCACTTTTGAACCCCCCGCCTCTTTAAGGCCGCAATTAATAAAAACATGTCCTGATTGGGCCCCAAACACATGTTTTAATTTGAGAAATGTTGTTAAAAAAGTGACCACTTTTTAGGTGCGGTCCCCCAACCAAAAGATACATCATGGTGTTGCCAGAAGGGGGATGTGCCCCCTTTTGTTTTGGGGGTTTGAAGGGGGCGGTAGTCCCCCTCATCGCCAGGAAAATTTTAGACTTGTGAGGGGCTAAAAATGACCCAAAATCGATCATAAGGTAACTTGTAACCAACGCTTAAAGCATTTGACTCTATCTCAATCCATTGAGAAGTTGCAGCACTTTGAAATCAATTTTCATGGAAAAAATCAACGCAAAAAATTGATTTTTGGCAATTTTGCGATGTCCCCTCATTGCCATGGTAACAGGAAATTGAAGCCAGAGCATGTTGTTACAAAGGCAATGGTCCAGTCAACATTTGTGCCAAGTTTGATTAGTATTGAAGCAGTTTTTATAGTTTTATAGCAATTTGAACTTGTAACGGGAGACTTTTTAATGAAATAGCCATTTTTCACAAATTGCTTATAAAGTAATGGGTTAAAATAGCCATCGATCTGTGACCTTGACAGTTTTGGCAGAAGAATTTAGTGTTCTAACTGCAATTGGTGGAAGCATGACTCTGGCCAGTCAGTGTCCAATGGCTCGGGTAGTAGAATGGGTTCTCCCTCAAAGTTTAAATTTCTGATGCCTCCAATCTGTAAAGAGTCAATACGCATTTTTATTTGGTAAAGAACAAATTTAAAGCAATACACTTTATATGATTATATTTATTTGAAGCATTATAAATATACAAATATACCAAAATAGATTATAAATTATTATATCAAACATATTGTAAAATTCACTTACAGTTCTACTTAAATACAATGTATGTAAAGGCATTATATTTTAAAAGTTTTAACAGAGTTGATTATTTCTCCAAGAGCAGTCTTATACTGTTATTCAGTCTTCTTCAGCTAAAAGTATATGCTTAAGATTTTATATTATATGATATATTCAATATATTTAATATAATTTTATTCAATATATTTAATATAATTACCTTAATATTAAATCTTCCTTTCTTCCTGCTGTTGATGCCCCTCTGGTAATTAATTCTGTTTTAATTTAACAACTGACCA